TGTGTGTGTTTCTATCTGACTACTTGTGTGTGCTTCCTCCTCTTCGTGTTCTTCCTCATCACTATCTTTTTTTTGTTTTACTTTTCTTTCATCTTCTTCTTCATCATCATCATCATCTGTAGTAGCTCCTCCTTCTTCATCACCAGCACAGGACTCCACGCCTTGCTTATGTGTTCCTGTCTGTCTTAATTGACTTTTTCTTTCGTGTAGAGGGATGTATAACTGTGAGTTTGCGTGTACTTGGTCCCAGTTTTCCCCTTCATTAAAACTGGCTGACCTAGAGATTATCAATCTATTGAGGAAGAATAAATTCTGTTAACCAAAAAGTTAGAAGTTAGTATCGCTTCACTCCACAGACCGTGACGCAACCCAGAGTCTGCCAACAAAGCATTTTTCATCTCTTGTAACACTCTGTTCCGTCTCTCAGCAACACGATTCTGAAATGGGCTATATGGGCTCGTTTTTCTATGTCTGATTCCCAGACTTTCTAACCATCTTTGAAACCTAGTGTTTGTAAACTCTGTACCTCGATCCGTTTGCAACTGTGCCACCTTGTGGCCAAATCTCCTCTCTACAGAAAACAACCATTTTTTAAATGTTTCAAACACTTCTGTTTTAGATTTTAGTGTATAACAATAAGAAAACCTTGTAAAATCATCCACTAGAACCATTGCATATTTTGCTCCTCCTAATGATGGAGGAAATGGTCCCATTAAATCTGCATGAACTAATTCAAATGGCCTGGTTGTGATTCTGTCACTTTTCCTCCCTTTTGGGGCCACATTCGTTTTGCTTCTTTTACAGACATTACAGTCCAAGTAATTTTTGCATTCCTTTATGTTTACATCCCTGGCAAAATGTTCCATTTTCTGTAATGATCTAAAATTTACATGACCCAGCCTCCTATGCAGTAAATGTATACAGTTATCATGTTGTGGTTTGTTTGTATGTATCACATGTGCACTTTCATGTGTCTGGCTCTTTAACATGTACAGATTGTTTTCTTGCTTCACTTTTGCAACTATTTTACCATTTTTCTTAATTATACACTCCTGTTTCTCAAAAGTGACAGTGAACCCTTGCTCAGCCAACGCTGATACACTTATTATATTAAACGACAATTCAGGAGCGTAAAATACCCCACTTATCTCAGTTTTCAACGAGATATCAATTTCAATGAGAATCAATTTCCATTGATTCAAAGGGCCTATTCTACCTGAAATGTTGTTACATGTTGTCAAGTTGGAACCAACTTATAGTGACCCTACCAGGGATTTCAAGGTGAGATATTATAGGAGTGGTTTCACCAGTTCCACTCCCCCAGTGAATTTCCATAGCTGAGCATGGGTTCATACCCTGGTCTTCAGAGTCCTAGTCCATCATTTTATCCACTACAGCACAGAGGGTATCATTGTAATAATCATCATGTGCTGTCAATTCAGTTCTGACTTATAGTGATCCTTTTTAGGGTTTTTAAGATAGAGAATACTCAGAAATAGTTTACCATTCCCTTCTTCTGGAGACACCCTGAGACCGCAGCTTGCCCAAGGCCACACAGGCTGGCTCTATTCACAGGAGGCACAGTGCGGAACTGAACTCCCAACCTCTGACTCCTCAACCGGATACCTAAAGTAAACCACTGTGCTATCCAGCCAGCGGTTGAAACTTAACAGTGCTGAGTAAGAGAATTTCAGCCAATATGTTAACTATTTTACAGAGGTTTTCAGATAATACTTTAAATTCTAAATCTACACGATTAATGGAATAACAGAATGAGATACTGCATAACTTTAGGCATTACTTTTAATGCAATGTCAAATGAATCTATAGCCTTACTTGAGTGTTAGGTTAGGATCTCTAACCTCCCCACCCCCCAAAATGAAATAGTTTTAAATGTACAGATCTATGTTGCTCTCATTAATTTCACCTGGAAATTAGATTTCTGTTTTTAGCTATCACTTGTATGGAGTACTGTTTTCATAGCAAATATGTAAAATATATCAATAAACAACTTTTTTATTAATATTTTATTTTTAACAAAGGGTAACAGGAAGGAAAAAGGGATTAAGGTTAAAGGGAAGAGGAGAAATAATGACATACTAATATCTCTTCTATACATATTGCCATATCAACATTCCAAATTGCTGTTTTTGCTATTTTCTGCCTTCCAGATTTAAGTTCTCATTCTAATGCATGTTCTTCAAGCGATGTCTACTGATTCAATCCATTTGTAGAATAAGTCCCATCTTTCAGTTGCCTTTTGTAGAGGACAGTACTTCATGATTTCTTATAAAATGTCCATTTCCGTTGTTTCCCTTATCTTCTCTATAAGATCTTCTTGTTTCGGTACCATCAAACGTTTCCAATTTTTGGCATAACGAATTCTAGCTGCAGTGACTATGTATATAACTATATACAGTGGTGCCTCGCACAGCGAGGTTAATCCGTTCCGGATTAACCCTCGCTGTGTGAAAGCATCGTTGAACGGAACGTAAAAACCCATTGGAACGCATTAAACATGGTTTAATCCGTTTCAATTGGGCCGAATTCTCCCCGTTCAGCGATGCTTCAGGATGGCCAGCAGCCATTTTCGCGCCCTCCCCTCGCTGTACGAGGGCGCGAAAATGCTGCGCGCGGCCATTTTGGGGCTTCTGGCGGCCATTTTGTAGCCGCCGAACAGCTGATCGGCGGGGCGCAAAGCGAAGGTCGGTAAGCAAACCGCTTACCGACCTTCGCTCTGTGATTTTCACCCTATGCAGGCACCGTTTTGTGATCGCATTTGCGATCGCAAAACCGGCCTCCTAGAGCGATGAATTGTGCAAGGCAGCACTGTACTTCTTTGCCTTATCTATGTTATCAGGCATCATACTCAATAAAAACAGTTCTGGGGTTAATGGCACCCAGAGCAATATTTGTTGCAACACAGCATGTACTCTTTTCCAATATTGCTTCGCTACTCTACATGACCACCACATATGATAATAGCTTCCCACATGTGCTTCACATTTCCAGCATACATTTGATACATCTGTATACATCTTCGACAATTTTTCTGGAGTCATATGCCACCTGTAAAACATTTTATATATATTCTCTTTAAAATTAACCGATCTTGTAAGCTTTATATTATTTTGCCATATTTTCAACCATTGATCAATATCAATATTATCCCCTATATTTTGTGCCCATTTAATCATACATTCTTTAACAATGTCATCTTGCATTTTGATTTCTAACAGATAATTATACGTTTTCTTGACTATTTTATCTTTTGAACCTAATAAAAACTTATCAAATGTCATTTGTTCTGAATAAAAGCCTTCTATTTTGTCTTTTGTATATCTAGATTCCAGCTGTGCTCTGGACCACCAGTCTATAAGAAACAACATTATAACCTGGTAGAGAGAATGAAAAAACACATTAAGGTGTTATGATTCTCTTCAACAGCAGATGTCAGTATAAATCCAGGCCAGTTAAAGAATTGTGTTTAACTTAAGGTTGGAATCAAATTCCAGCAACATCTAGTGTTGTTGTTTTTCTTCAAAAATGGGGGAATCAGCATTATGTCTTTGTCCCAGAATATAACCTGAAACCTCTTCCTCCACTTTATCTTAACACTCTAATCACACAACTCTCATCACTTTCAACAGGCCAGATTTCTGTTGGTAATTGACACATAGGTAAGTTAAGCTGCAAGCCTCCCTGATAATTTATGGGGTTCCAATGCCCCACTAATTGGTGCCTCATTAGTTTAGTGAACTCTCCAGAGAGCATTTGCACTAATTGGGCAGTATAAAAGTTGAAATAATGAATGAATGAATAAGTTAGCAGCAACTGAACGATAAGAATTATGCAGTTTGACTTAAATGTCTATGCCACCAACAAGATTCTAGCCTCTGTTTTACATAAATATATTGTAAATGATCTTATTAATAATGTTAGCCACTATAGCCATTTTGATTTCTCTCAAGGCCAATTGGTCACAAGACTGAAACAAAAGGCAGGTGTATTATGACATAAGAATGGTACCGTAAATCAACCTCACATCCAAAATTTATTTAAAGCATATTCCAACACTGGTGACTATCATGTTGGTGCTCTTCTGTATCTCGCTTCCCAACAGATGTTGGGAAGTCCTATTCTTATCATGAAATGTGGCAGAACAAAAGTTCTCAGAGATACCAGTCTAGCAGTCCATGTGGTGTAAGGAATAAAGTCAAACTCGGAGTTGGAAGACTCCTAATCAGCGATGGAAATGGGCAAATGGTAAACCATTCCTTGGACATGTCACACACTTCAAAAACCTTATTAGGATGGTCACAAATTGAAAGTGAACTGACAGCGTATAATAACCAAACGTCTGCCTGAAGCACTCTTGGGTTTGTCCTTAATGGAATACATGACAGAAGTAATGGGAATCTCTTTTATACCACTGCACTTTTATTCGTGTAAGAATAGCAAGACTTGCTATTGTTTGATTTCCCTTTCCCCAGAGCTAGGAAAAATTACTTTTTATACCTACTTTTCCCAGAATCCTCCAACCATCATGATTTTCCAAGCCCTGCTTTTTCCATCTTTATCTTGGTGACAAGCTACCCAGTGTGAGGACAGAGTGATGAGCTAGGACTCAAGAGACTCCTATTCAAATCACCGTATAGCCATCAGAAGTCACAAGGTGGCTGTGGGAATTGGTAGAATCATTCTTTAAATATCTTACTTGCCTTGAAAGACCTGTTAGGGTCACTATTAGTCAGTTCTGACTTAACAGCACATAATAGACGCCCCTAGATAATAGAGGTGCAAACTCTAAAAGCATGAGCTCAGGATGGCTCTTCTGAAACCAATTCATAGTTGACAATCCATTCTCATCTGGGCTCCTTTCCATCACTGCCCAGCTGCTTTTCACTCTGAAATGTTTGGAAGTCCGCGAGAAGAACACAGTTCATGGTTTATAATTAACACAATTAAAAATAGAAATTGAATAAACTGAATGCAGCAAACAGGGCAGAGAGAGATGGTTGTGTAACTACCAGCCTTGAAGGAAGTGCCAGAAGGGTGTCATCCTCTAAAAGAGTCAAGTGCAGGCAACGGAGCAGCTCTTCCTAAAAGGCAAGTCATTTTAAGCTTGATGATAAGCTGATACTCACTGAATTTAATGCATGCATTGAGTAGCGCAGTGTTCATTAACTGAGCGATTTGATCACAATTACAGCTGCACAGCATGTTGTTGTTCTTGTTGTTGCTTTTGCTGTTGTTGGGACCTCAGGAAAAAAAACTGAGGGTAGACCTGCCAACTCTTCCTAATATGGATTGTATATTAACATGTGACTATGTGGTTGCCTGACTACCTGGAAGAAAAATAATAGAGATATTTAAAGAATCTTTTTTTAAATGTAAAGAGAGAAACCAAACACTGTAATGAAGCTGAGATTTACTTTATTTTTTAAAAGAATAAATTTCCACATGCAAATTCCAAAACTGGAGTGATAATTTTGCATACAGGTAAACTCCAGATCTCTTGTTTCAGCAACAAGAATGCCTGAGAACTTGAGACTGCACAGAAGGATTTGTTAGTAAATCCCCATCTCATGGCAAGTGAAAGGGCTGAAATTTTGCCTGAGCACGTTTTCTGCAACGTTTGAGAGCAGGGCACCAAAAGCTGTTGTTGCAATGGTGACAGGAGCCTTTGGCTGCAGCAACTCACAGAGCTGCCCTCGTGAAAAGGGTCAGAGCATGAAAGAGGATCTCTTGCCATCCCTGGCTGAGTAGATCATGTCCTAGAAGGGGAAAAAGAAGTACAGGAGGCCAAAAAAGGTGGGATCAAGGGGGTTTTGAGCTGCAAAATGGTGAAGTTCCTTGGAAAAGAGGGTTGCAGGTACCCGTTAGTCCAGAAGAACAAAGACATGAAGAAGAGGCAAGAGTGAAGAGCCTGAAAGGGAAAAACAGAAAGAGAGAGAGAGAAAAGCAGAGAAGAGGAAGCTATGTAATTGGAGGGAAGCTGATATTGACATTGGTTCATAATGTCACATACTGTATCTAACCACACTGCTTAAATATGCTATTATTACTGTATAATACTAATATTAATACTGATACAGATGGTTTCAGAAGCAACTTTGTGAGTTCGAAACACCGCTCTTTGTAGTTGAGCATTCACAGACATGCTCCTAAATGTGGGATTTAAGTGTCAGTTTGACATTCAACTTTTGAATTTCCAGCACTGAAATTTGGATAGGCAAATTTCATGCATGCAAACTTGACATGTAAAGATCCAGGCTCTTTCTCTTTTTTTGCACAGCTCCAGATGTTTTTGTGTGTAGAGGCCTGGTGTTTGCATGTGAGAGGGGGAATCTTGCAAATGTATCTCGGAGTGAATATTTAGGCAGAATGTGCCTTATAGGGCAATTTTAAACACTTTTATTCAGAAGACTAACCTAGTCCCAAGCCATTTGGGATTTTAAGGCTGTACTGTCCTCACCAACCTGGGACTAAGGGCCTATTGAATGCAGTAAGGTTTCCCTCTGGGTATACCTGTGTTGGAATGCCCTAGATAGGTCATAGGAGACACTTTGTTAAAGTGGAGGGGGAAGGAACTCAATCCCTCACCCACAAGTTACAGGTTCTGCTCCCATAGCACCTGACAGCAGACAACAGAAACATGGCTACAATGGAGATCCCTATGCATATGGCGGGGGCCTAAATATTACAGTACAGTATTTCACATATATTACAGTGGCCAAAATCTTGTTGCTCACTGGTTGTAAATCAGACTAGAGCAGGGCCATTGAATCAATCTGGATTTGGTGAGTCAATTCCCCAGTTAGTTCCACTGATTAAAATGCACCTACTCTGCTTTGAATACTGTCTTTTAGTGTGGTATTTGTTCAGCCATTTTCAGTACTTGTATACTTACTGTTTTTAGCTTTAAATTGTGTATTTTAATGGTGTAAGCCACCTTGGGTCCTTCTTAAGGAGAAAGGCAGGGTAAAAATATTTAAAATAAATCAATTAAATAATGGCAACTTACAATGCTAAAGGGAGAGAAAGGCAGGGTAAAAATATTTAAAATACCGTAAATCAATTAAATAATGGCAACTTCCAATGCTAAAGGGGGTCACCATTAGAAAAGGCCATTTGAACCAATGGAACTTACGGAGGAACTGACTCGTGGAATCTCCATTGATTCAATGGGCCTGCTGTAGTGCAATTTTCTACACCAAGCAACAGGATTTGGGTCAGTATTTAATAGTGCTGTGAGCAAAGTGTAAGTGGGAAAAAGGAGCTTTGGGGTTCATAATTGCACTCCTGTGGGAGCAAGGAGCACGGGGGGGGGGCGACAGCAAAGGACAGAGGGAGGGAAAACAGGAGTCTGGAGGCTAACTCCTCAACTCTACTGAGAAGAAATTAAAAGAAGTAGACCAAAGGTGGTGTACATTTTGAGAATGAGATCTGGCAGCTACAGAAAACAACTTCACTGACTTCATTAGGGAGGATAGATGAAAGTTTCCCCACCCCCACACAACCACTTCTAGACAACATAGCCTAGACCAGTGATGGTGAACCTTTTTGAGCCTGAGTGCTGAAAATGCAACACAAAATCAACCTATTTATTTCAAAGTGCCAACACTGCAATTAAAACCCAAATACTGAGGTTTTAGTTTAGAAAAAAACAACAACTGCTCCTGCACTGCAAGGGATAAATGTTTGGGTTTCCCCCCCCCCCATGGGTGGTATTAACAAAGAAATACTTAACGGTCCTCCAATACCCCATTGAACAAGACCGGTAATGTTCACCATTGCACCTCTCTGCTGGACCACTGCACCAGTAGAGGGAAGCGCCAAAATCCGGGATCGGAGGACGGGTATTTCTCGATGGTGACTTATGGCTCGAGTGCCCACAGAGAGGGCTCTGCGTGCCAGCTGTGGCACACATGCCATAGGTTCGCCAGTGCTGCAGTGACATAGACACCATGCTCTAGTAATGTTATAGGAAGAGCCAGACCTGTCTGGCACTATCCTACCTTCGGCCGAGAAATTAGACCAAATTCTTGAGCCTTGCTTGCAGTTATAGTTCTGCAAGTGA